CAAAAATGCCTTAAGTGATGCTTGTTTCACATTAACTTGTGCTGGGAAGTCAACACTGTCACATTTCGTCACCTCGTCTCCTACGTCAATCACACATCAATGATCTCACCCATTCTGCCTATTTCCATCTATGCAAAATTAACCCTTTTCTATCAATCCTTGTTCACAGTCTTGTCCCTTCCTGCACTGACTATTGTAATTATCTCTACAATGGTCTCCCTCCAAAATCCCTCCATAAGCTTCAACTGGTTTAAAACTCTGCTGCCTGCATTATTACCAGAACCCCTCCTACCAGCACATCACTCCTGTCCTTCAGGAACGTCATTGGCTCCCTGTGACATTCCAAATAGTATTCAAGCTTCTTCTGTTCACCTTCAAGGCCCTTCATAACATTGCTTACCTTTCTGACCTATTAAGCACTACCTCTTTTGCCCACTCACTTTGCTCTTCCTCTGCACTTGCTGTGCCTTCTTTCCGCCTCAGCACCATGGGAAGCAGAGCCTTCATCTGCTCTGCTCCCAGCCTGTGGAACTCTCTACCCCTGATATAAGAAACATTGATTCTCTGTTCAAGTTTGCTTATTCACTGTGAACTTATTGTGTATTTTATATTGTTCTTAGTTCTGTCTTTGTTCTTTTTTTTCCCCTTTCTTCTCTGTAGTAGTTTCAGGAATTTCACAAAGAAAAAAATGGGAACTACTAATATATATGCATACTTGTACTTTTCTTTTTTTATTATTATCTATTTTATTGGGACAGCTGTTGAACATAACAGTAGTATGCCTTTTCTTTGCTGTCACATTTTAACTTATAATTGACAAAATAAAGAAGACAGAAAAAGAAGAGAAAAGAAAAGAAAAAAAACTAGGGTTAGGAGGCAGCAGGGCAGGTAGGTTTACGTAGTACTCAGGGTTGTAACATCATATACAAAATCACACCTCATATGCTTAACATAGTCTGTCCATTTAGTCCATATTCTGTAGAAGGTATCCCTCTGAAGTTTAAGAGAAAATGACACTTTTTCCATCGTATTGATCTCTTGTACAGAATGTATCCAGTCTTCTATCGTTGGTGGTTCAGGCTTAAGCCATCCCCTCGTAAGAGGCTTTTTACTTGTGGCCAGAAGGATATACAAGAGTCTGTTATCATTGGAATTCAATTTATCCACTGGTACATTGCACAAAAATAACTTTACAGTCCCAAAAGATGTGGGAATGTTTAGCTCCGTCTCCCCCACATCTCCAACATTTATCACCAATTCCTCGATATCTTTGTTGAGCAGGGGTGATGAAAAATCTCATAATGCTTTTCCAGCAAAATTCACGCCAAACATTAGACCCAGTGGTAGCCCACTGTATCTTGCATGCGTGGTCCCAACACT